GTAGAACATATGATATGTGTATTTTCAACTTTACTAGACACTGATAAATCAAACTAACCTTCCAGTCTCAATCTCTTCCAGGAAACTTGCTGATGAAATCTTAGCTATTTCCAACACTATTAAAATATTATTTTCTTGCTTTTCTCCATCTGAAATCTCTGCTCTGGTCAGATTGGCCTACTCACTGGTTCATGAGCATGCCTTTGCTGTTAGGTCTTCTTGAATAAAATATTCCTCCTTTTATTTTCTCATTTTTTTATTTTGAGACGGAGTCTCACTCAGTCGCCCAAGCTGGAGTGCAGTGGCATGATCTTGGCTCACAGCAACCTCTGCCTCCTGGGTTCAAGCAATCCTCCTGCCTCAACCTCCCAGTAGCTGGAATTACAGGCGCCCACCACCATGCCCGGCTAAATTTTTGAATTTTTAGTAGAGACGAGGTTTCACCATGTTGGCCAGGCTGGTCTCAAACCCCTGACCTCAAATGATTCGCCTGCCTCAGCCTCCCAAAGTGCTGGGATTACAGGCATGAGCCATCATGCCCGGCCCTATTTTCCAATTTTTTTCATACTGTGATCATCCAAGCCCCTCCACTTACCCTCTCCCTCCCTCAGCTTCCTGTGAAGGAATCTTAACTGCTTTACAAAATCATTCAAACTGCTGAGGGAGCTAATCTCAGCACTTACTGCCTCCCACTGCCCCATTCCCTGGGCACTCTGCTTCTCTAAATCTCTTACATAAGTGCTTTTCATTATTAATGATTTTTTCCTGTGTATATATCAAATGTCTTTCATTACACTACACTTTTCTTAAATGCAACTGAGCAACTGACTTCAGGCTCCCTCTCTCTGTATGCATTTTTAGTATTCCCAATATCACCGAAGTTACCTTTTTAGTATTCACCCACGTTACATAACTGTTGTTTACAGAGAGGTGCTTAGTTAGTATTTTAAATGAAGCACTAAATCAATTTACTGCACTAACATCAATAACCAAGAGTTAGTAGTGACATAATCTGACAACCTGAAATCTTCTTTGCAGTTCTGAATAGATATAACTTTAATTTTCATGTCACTTTAATTTATTATGTCACATGTATCCTGTTAAATGGTCTGTTTGTCTCAGTTCAGAGAAGAATACACTACAGTAGTGCATGAATTAATGCCTATGAATTTACTGCAGGTATCAAACTTCCATTAAAATAAAAATATTCATATTCTCGTTAGAAAACAATTGTTAGCAATGAAAACAATGGCGATCCCCAGCCAAGTTAGTTAGTAGGAATCAAGGGCCTTCTATTTTCCACCTGCCCCAATGTGAGAATCTGACGTTTCTTTTTGGACTTTGAAGTATCTGTTAATATTTTACAGACATCATAAGGGAAATTGGCACAAAATAAATACATCTGTACTATTTTTAACTCCACCGGGGGGGGGGGGGGGAAAGACAAAGAAAAATTAAGTTTCTCTACATAAAAATAGGAGGAGAGGAATTTTTCAGGGTTTGCCCAAGCAAAAAGAAAAAAAAAATAGTCCCTCAACTTTCATAGCAACCCCCAAAATGCTACAAAAATCACCACCACCACCAATCTCTGTATAACATATACTCAGGATACAAAATATCCTGGGTATTTATGGGACGCAAAATAATTTTCTCCATTTTTTAACATTGGGCTTTACGTGTTTTTTGTTTGTTTGTTTGTTTGCTTGTTTTGTTTTGTTTTTTTTAATGAATCCGTGAGGAGCACTGCAGTTGCATTTTTTAGAAGATACTCAGAGTAGCAAGTAGATTCTAGAGGTGTGAGACAGGAGTGATGCCTCACACCTGTAACCCCAGCACTTTGGGAGGCTGAGGTGGGTGGATCACCTGAGGTCAGCAGTTTAAGACCAACCTGGCCAACATGGTGAAACCTCGTCTCTACTAAAAAAACAAAAATTAGCAGGGCGTGGTTGTGGGTGCCTGTAATCGCAGCTACTCTGGAGACTGAGGAATGAGAATAGCTTGAAACTGGGAGGTGGAGGTTGCAGTGAGCCGAAATTGCATCATTGCACTCCAGACTGGGTGACAAGAGCGAAGCTCAATCTCAATAAATAAATAAATAAATAAATTCTAGGGGCGTGTTATCAGCATGCATTAGGCTGCAAATAACAGAATGCTTGATTAAAATAGACTCCTACTATCTAAAGTGTAGTCCTTGGGTCAGCAACATGGCATTATTTCAGAGATTGACAGTTTCAGAGTTTGCCACACCCCAGACCTTCTAAATCAGAAGGTGCATTCTAACAAGCCCCCCAGGTGATATGCACATTAAAGTTTGAAAAGCACCAGCTCAAAGAAAAGAAATGAGGGATTATTATTTCACACAGCAAGAAATCTGAAGACAGGCAATTCTGGGATTGGTTAATCAGTTGCAAAATGATGTTGATAACTCAGCTGCTTCTCAACTTCCTGCTTTGGCAGCCTCAATGTGTTGCCCTTTGTGCTCAGATGTAACCCTTCATTCTAACAAAATGGCTGCCATAGCTCCGACCATTCACATCTTCAGGAAAACTATATTCAGAGGCATGAGGGGCAATCTCTTCTTGTGCTTCTAATTTTTTTTTTTTTTTTTTTTAAGACAACCCCGCCTTTTTCTTTGCCCGGGCTGGAGTGCAATGGTCCAATCTCAGCTCACTGCACTTCTACCTCCCAGGTTCCAATGATTCTCCTGCCTCAGCCTCCCGAGTAGCTGGGATTACAGGCGTGTGCCACCACACCCGGCTAATTTTCGTATTTTTAGTAGAGACAGCTTTCGCTATGTTGGCCAGGCTGGTCTCAAACTCCTGACCTCAAATGATCCACCTGCCTTGGCCTCTCAAAGTGCTGGGATTACAGGCGTGAGCCACCACATCCAACTTATAAATACTCTTTATAAATAACAGAGTGGTAGAAAAAAAGAAAGATTACAAGAGGTTAAAGAGAGAATGAATAGTGAGAAAATGAAAGTAGTCAATACAATTTTTTTTTTTTCTGAGACAGAGTCTTGCTCTGTCACCCAGGCTTGAGTGCAGCAGCATGATCTTGGTTCATTGCAGTCTCTGCCTCCTGGGTTCAAGCAATTCTCCTGTTTCAGCCTCCAGAGTACCTGGGATTATAGATGCACGCCACCCTGCCCAGCTGATTTTTGTATTTTTAGTAGAGATGGAGTTTTGCCATGTTGGCCAGGCTGGTCTTGAACTCCTGACCCCAGGTGATCTGCCTGCCTCGGCCTCCCAGAGTGCTGGGATTACAGGCATAAGCCACCGCGCCCTGCCACAAACAATTTTTGAAGTTGTAAGAAAAAGAGAGAAATATAGTGAGGGTTAACGAGTAGCTCCAATGAGGGATGGTGATATTTTGTCCTCTCCACCCATAGCACAGATCTGAGATTGTCCAAAGGAGAATGAGTCCCTGAAAGGAGAATGAGGGATGTTGTTAGCAAGGAAAGAGGCAAGCCTTGGATGAAGGACAGGCAAGTTGTCTGTTGAGGAGAGACGTGTGGAGGGGGTTATGGGATGGTGGTCCTAGAAGCATTGTCTCCAGAACAGCAGAAACACCTAGGAACTTGTTAGACATGCAGATTCCCAGGTCACGCCTCAGACCTACTGAATCAGATCTCCGAGGATGGGACTCAGCAATCTCAGTTAAACAGCCCTGCAGGTGATTCAGACCTACACTCAAGTTTGAGAATAAATGTGCCAGGGAATTGTTCATATTGTACCTACCTGTATGTGTGCCTCTGTAATTTAAACTGTTTTCTTGAGTCAGGAAATGCTTTCCATTTTGTTCTTAGTAGACTCAGATGCTGAGGCCCTGCTGGCCCTGAGGAGGGTGTATAGAATTCTAGATAGACTAGGAGATCTGGAGTGTTGGATCTTTGCTGCTATTCTTGCTGGGTTGGTTACCTGCATTTCTTTTTTTCTTGCCCAGGCTCTCATTGAGCTCGTAGACAAAGGGCCACCGATTATTTTTTCTGTCCTGTTAATGACTGTCCATTGCAAAAACATGAAAGTCTGCAACCCTTAGCATGGAAGGCCAGTCCTGTGATCTCAACTCTGCTCACTTCTTGAGTCTTCTACCTTGCTGCCCTGAGGGGAACCTTTTCTTTCTGGCAAGAGATCTGTGGAAGGGAACTGAGAAAAATTCTTACAGAGTCCTAGCAACATTTGATCTGGTTACATAGCTTTATTACCTGCCTACTACATGCCAGGAATTCTACAACAGACTGGGATAAAAAGATACTTTACAAAGAGGCATAACATATTCTGGAAGAGAAGTCTGTTTTCATTCAGAATGCTATAACAGAATTCCATAGAGCGAGAGGCTGAAAGAATAAACATTTTAAACAACAAACATACATTTCTTACAGTTCTGGAGACTGGGAAGTCCAAGATCAGGTGACTGACAGACCTGGTGTCTGGTGAGGACACCCCTCCTGGTTTGCAGATGGGTTTGCAGATGGCTATCTTCTCATTGTCTCCTCACACGGGGGAGAAAAAAAATCACCTCTCTTGTGTCTCTTCCTATAAGGGCACTAATACCTTTTTGTTTTTTGAGACAAAGTCTATCGCCCAGGCTGGAATGCAGTGGCACGATCTTGGCTCACTGCAACCTCTGCCTCCTGGGTTCAAGTGATTGTCTTGCCTTAGCCTCCCAAGTAGCTGGGACTACAGGTGTATGCCACCACGCCCAGCTAATTTTTGTATTTTTAGTAGAGATGGGGTTTCACTATGTTGGCCAGGATGGTCTCAATCTCTTTACTTCATGATCCACCCACCTCGGCCTCCCAAAGTGCTGGGATTACAGGTGTGAGCCACTATGTCTGGCCCAAGGGCACTAATGCCATTTGTAAGGGCTCCCCCTCATGACCTAATCATGTCCTAAAGGCCCCCCGCTCCTACTACCCTCATCTTGGGTGTTAGTATTTTAACATGAAATTGTTGAGGGGCACAAACATTCAGTTCACAACACAGCCAAAGACACAAATGCTTCGGCAGCACATATGCTAAAATCGGAATGATACAGAGAAGATTAACATGGCCCCTACACAAGGATGATACACAAATTCGTGAAGCATTCCATATTTTTAAAAAAATTATAAAAAAGAAAGAAACAGGCTAGGCATAGTGGCTCACACCTGTAATTCTTTGGGACGCTGAGGCGGGCGGATTACCTGAGCTCAGGAGTTCGAGACCAGCCTGGCCAACATGGTGAAACCCTGTCTCTACTAAATACAAAAATTAGCTTGGTGTGGTGGGTCATGCCTGTAATCCCAGCTACTTGGGAGGCTGAGGTAAGAGAATTGTTTGGACCCAGGAGGCGGAGGTTGCAGCGAGCCGAGATCAGGCCACGGCACTCCAGCCTGGGCAACAGAGCAAGACTCCCTATCAAAAAATAAAAAAAAGAAAGAGAGAGAGAGAAAGGAAGGAAGGAAGGGAGGGAGGGAGGGAGGGAGGAAGGAAGGAATCAGTACGTACATTTCAGAACAGAGTTTTAAAGAAAAAGTAGGAAGTGGCTGAGAGAAGGTACAGATATGTGTTTTCAATAAAAGGAACAGCATAAGCAAACACGGGTTGAAACAGGACAGCAATTGCTGCAACACTCAGAAGTCAGAGTTTGAGAGTGGCAGGTTGGGCAGCTAGAGAGGGAGATCAAGGGTAACCAACTGCTCCACTTTGCCCAGAACTGTCCCCGTTTTAGCAGTGAAAGTCCCCTGTCCCTCAGTTCTGAGCAAACCGGGATGGTTGGTCTCAGTAGGGTAGAAGCCAGGCTGCAGAAAGTCTTACATGCCATGCCGAGAAGCACACACTTTTTGTTGTTGTTGTTGTAAATTTTTTTTTTTTTTTGAGATGTAGTCTCACTCTGTCACCCACACTGTAGTGCAGTGTCGAGATCTCAGCTCACTGCAACCTTTGCCTCCCAGGTTCACCCAGTTCTCCTGCCTCAGCCTTCCAAGTAGCTAGGATTACAGGTGCCCACCATCACCCCGGCTAATTTTTGTGTTACTAGAGACAGGGTTTCACCATGTTGTCCAGACTGATCTCGAACTCCTGACCTCAAGTAATCCCCCCAACTTGGCCTCAATTGCTGGGATTATAGGTGCGAGCCACTTCACCTGGCTGAGAAGCACATTCTTGATCCATCAGGATCAAGAGCCACTAAAGGTGACAGGAAGCTTCTGGAAAAACACCATGGAGCTGCATTAGCAAGCATAGGGGCCACAGCGGGCCAACCCTACATAAGACAGGGGAAGGCAAAATCAAGTCTCCTGGCTTTTGCTGTCCCACTCATAAAGGAAAATTAAAACATATAAACACAAAAAAGAAAAGAAAAGAAAAAACATTGTTAAAGAGGGAGGAAGGCAAGGCAGGAAGGCAAGGATGGAGGATGAGACTGGAAGTCTGGAGTTCTGTGTTCATTCTTTCCACTTACTCACACAAGCTCTGGAAGCTTCGGTTTCCACATCTGTGAAATGGGATAATACCTACCTCCTTGGTTTGTTTTGATGATCAAACAACAGAGTGCATATGAAAGAGCTTGGTACACTATAAAGCACTATATGAGTGTTACTAATAAGGCCACCGTCACTCAAAATATACCCAACCACATCAATCTAGAAAGCGTAATTTTGGTCGTAATCGTATCACATTGCTTACTGATTTCAACAGCACTCCGTCATCATTAATAACTCCTGCATGTCAGCAGGCTTGAGTGGCGCTGACAGCTGCTGAGAATTGCTAGAGGAAAGCCAATCCAGATTCTTCCTTTTCTTTCCCCACATGATAAACATTTAGGCCCGGTGTGGTGGCTAACACCTGCAATTTCAGCATTTTGGGAGGCTGAGGCGGGCAGATCACTTGAGGCCAGGAGTTCGAGACCAGCCTGGTCAACATGGTGAAACCCCATCTCTACTAAAAATTTGAAAATTAGCCAGGCATGGTGTGCGCCTGTAATCCCAGCCACGTGAGAGGCTGAGGCACAAGAATTGCGTGAAGCTGGGAGGCAGAGGTTGCAGTGAACTGAGACTGCACCACCGCACTCCAGCCTGGGCGACAGAGTGAGACTCGCTCTCAAAATAAATTAAAACATTAAAATTAAAATTAAAAAATAAACATTTTAACTAGGTGAAGTGAGATTGAAAAGAGCAAGAGCAGGGTATGTGGACAGAAAGGAATAGGAAATATTTGTTCTAGACCCCAAAATATGGGTTGATATCAAGTTGATGTCGAGTCAGATCATACCCTGTTTATGGTCTTGTCTTGTCTTTTCTTTCTTTCTTTCTTTTTTTTTTTTTTTTTGAGACCGAGTCTCACTCTGTCACATCCGTCATCCAGGCTGAGTGCAGTGGTGCAATCTCGGCTCACTGCAACCTCTGCCTCCTGGGTTCAATTGATTCTCCCGCCTCAACTTCCTGAGTAGCTAAGAGTACCACTGATAGTGATTCCACCTCTGCCCGTCACTGGGGCCTGCACTAGCTGGGCTGGCATCCCCTCCCAACCCGAACTGCTCCTCAGAGCCATCTCCTGAACCATAAATTATTCTTACAGAAAGATAGTTATCCAGAAATTCCCATTCCACCTGCCTGCAGTGCGTGCCTGCATAGCTCTCCTGAACGCAACAGGGCTTTGAAGTCTGGCCTGTGCCCCTTGGCTAGAGGGACAGCAGGAAGGGGGCTGCACCCCACTGGCCCTGCACCCATCCTCGGCCCTGTTGCCTCTATTTCAATACAGAAGTGTTCAACAACAACAACAAAAAAAAGTTAGCCAACATGCCTGGCTAACTTTTATATTTTTAGTAGAGATGGGGTTTCACCACATTGGCCAGGCTGGTCTCAAACTCCTGACCTCAGGTGATCTACCTGCCCTGGCCTCCCAAAGTGCTGGGATAACAGGTGTGAGCCACCAAACCCAGCCTGCTTATGATCTTTTAATAATTACCTTTTGCCTGGAAATCAAAGCTCACACTTCTTGATCTGGCCCTTATTTACTTCTCTAGGTTCTTTTTTCTTTTTCTTCTTTTTTTTTTTTGGGACAGGGTCTCGTTCTGTTGCCCAGGCTGGAGTGCAGTGGTATGATCATGGCTCACTGCAGCTTCAACCTCCCAGGCTCAAGTAATCTTCCTGCTTCAGCCTCCTGAGTAGCTAGGACTACAGACATGTACCACCATGCCTGGCTAATGTTTTTGTGTGTGTGTGTAGAGATGAGGTCTCTTTACGTTGCCCAGACAGGTCTCAAACTCCTAGGCTCAAGTAATCATCCCATCTTGGCCTCCCAAAGTGCTGGGATTATAGGTGTGAGCCACTGCACCTGGCCTCTAGGTTCTCTTTAGTCCTTTGCTCTTGTGTAGCTTACTTTCTAACCACAACAAACTGCTAGCCATGGTGGAATTTGTTGTTATTGTGCACCTGCTCTTGTCCCTTCTCTCTTTGTCTGAACTTCCTCCTGGCATATACCTCCTTAGACACCCAAAGGGAGTTCAGATGCTACCTTCCATTGAAATCGACTTTGGCTTCTTCAGACACAGTCAGACACCTGTGAGCCTATAGCATGCTGGGCACTTTTCTAGAATAGGGTGAGAATATCGTGTAGCAGAAGAGCATTGAGTTTTTGATCACAGTCCAGCTTTTAAGCCCAGATCTACCATTTTCTTCTTTGGATGAAGTATAAGAGAAGCACCAGCGTGGATTGTGAAAAGCACGGATTCTGAGGCGAGACAGCCTAGCTATGGGACCTTGGACAAGTTACCTAAACCCTTTTACATCCGTGGGTCCCTCAGCACCCACGGATGTAAAACAAGGGTGATCATATTACAGTCCTCCTCAAAGGATAGTTGTGAAAGTAAAATGAGTTAATAAAAAAAAAGTAAAATGAGTTACAGAAAAAGAAAAACTGAGGGGTGGGTGAGGTGGCTCTTGCCTGTAATCCCAGCACTTTGGGAGGCTGAGGTGGGTGGATCACCTGAGATGGGGAGTTCAAGACCAGCCTGACCCACATGGTGAAACCCCGTCTCCACTAAAAATACAAAAATTGGCTGGATGCAGTGGCTCATGCCTGTAATCCCAGCACTTTGGGAGACCGAGGCGGGTGGATCACATGAGGTCAGGAGTTTGAGACCAGCCTGACCAACATGTAGAAACCCACGTCTACTAAAAATACAAAATTAGCCAGCTGGGCATGGTAACTCATGCCTGTAATCCCAGCTACTCGGGAGGCTGAGGCAGGAAAATTGCTTGAACCCAGGAGGCAGAGGTTGTGGTGAGCTGAGATTACATAATTGTACTCCAGCCTGGACAAGAGCAAAACTCTGTCTCAAAAAAATAAAAAGAAAAAGAAAATGGTAGGCATGTTGGTGTACACCTGTAATCCCAGCTACTTGGGAGGCTGAGGCAGGAGAATTGCTTGAACCTGGGCGGTGGGGGCTGCAGTGAGCTGATAAGGCAGCACTGCACTCCAGCCTGGGCAGCAGAGGGAGACTTTGGTCTCAAAACAACAACAACAAAATAAATTAGAAAATACATAAATAAAAACACTGAGAACAGGCTCTGACACATGCTCGTCTGCTCTTGTTATTAATCTCACAGTTTCTTCTGTTGTGAAAAGGGAGTAACACTCCCTGGTGCAAGCGGACACGAAGATGACGGGAGATAAGCAGGTGTGCTTGATGTAGAGAAGGGCTCTTTTTCTTGCCCTTTACCTCTTGCCCTTGGAATTCTAATTCTTTATTTATAGGTATTTCCACCACTAAAATCTCCCAGCTTCCCCAGGGAAGAGAAAGGCTCACCCATCTTTGTGTTCTCAGCCTCTGGCACATAGTAGGTGTTCAAGAAATGCTTGGTGAATGAGTTGATAAAAATGTAGTAGTAGAAAAACTTAAAATGGCCTTAAAGTCCTATTAGCAATATCCTAAAAGGGCACCAATGTTAATCCCTAAGATCCTGTATCTTTATAAATCAGTGTGAAAATCACTTTTTGAGGGTTTTTTCTTCCCTCTTAATTTTGTGTTTGTATTTCTTGGTGTTGCCCCAATCCTCCCCAGGTCTTCTTTCTTCTCTGTACTCTGCATTAATCTTGGACAGGATTTCTCAACCT